TAAAAATAATTTGTTGGTCAATATAATTACAAAAATGTTTTATAATTTAACAAATTTATTAGAATATGAAAGTAAGTAATTAAATAAAACTTAAAAAAAAAAATAGCTGCAAAAAATAATTTTTAATAATTTTAAAAAAAATATCGATCTATGGTATGTATTATAAAGTACAGTCATCCTTTTCTATTACAATAAAAAGGGGGAAACTGCCAGATAAACTATTTTCCCAAACCTGAAGATTTGAGGAGATCTCATATTCTATTATTATTACACATGGCGTAATTTGTTTATTTACTAAATCCCCATTTATCTCAAAAACTAATATTATGCCATTTTCCCTTTCTATTGCAAAGGCCCCATATTTTCACAGGTTGCGGAGCATCGAAGATGTGGAGCATATGTATACAAGATATATACACAAGATATGTTCACGGGTTGTGAAGCATCGAAGATGTGAAGCATATGTACACAAAATATGTTCACAGGTTAAGGAGCATCGAAGATGCGGAGCATATGTACACAAGATATATACACAGAGGTTGCAGAGCACCAAGGGTGCAGAGCATGTACGCAAAACATAAAAAAATCAAGTAATGTAAATGCACACATATTGAGTTCTAGGAATATTCCCAGAACATCCTCGGCACTAGCCCATCTGAAATTTGGTATACATATGCTTTAGCGCCCATGATTTTTTGAATCCCCCTGGCCCGGCTAGTCTTGATCAAGGGCTTTCAAATAAGTCTACATTTGTATGAATCCAATCAGTGGATCCTGAGATATTTGCGTCCAAAGTAGCCAGAGCAGTCAAGCAGTTTTCTTATCACAGATTAGCCAAATAGACCCAGACCCATATCTGGTGTTCACTTTGTGAACCTTTCTTTATCATCATGGATTATCGGGCAGGGGTAAATGGCTGGCAGACTGAGATTCCTATGGAATTTGATTTGAAGTATATGTTTCCAGATTGGGGAATCCTTCTCTGTTCTCGAGGCCTATCAGATCGATTTGAATTCAAAACACTAGTGGTTGGAGATAAAAGTTTGTTTTTATAATAATTAGCTTTACTATAATACTTTTCAGCATGTTTTACACACATTCTGTAAGAAGAAGTCATTGGTGTATCACATTCACCACAAGGAATACAAAATCACCTTTTCCAATGAATGTGACATCTATTTTGCCGATAACATTTATTTCCACATATACGACCATCAATATAGAGGTATGGACAAGAATAAAATGTCATGCTTACCTATTGTTTCACAACGTCGAAGTGTTTTACAAATCAAAAATTAGTTTATATAAGAAAATATATTATGTTAACTGCTTGTTAGCCTGCTAACGATTTTACAAATTAAATATTTTCTGAGATTATTAAAATGAGATGACATCTAATAATGATAAAAGAATGAAATCTTTATCTCAAGTGATTACAGAGGAGCTAGCAAAAAAAATGGAGAAAGCATTGCTAAAAGTATTGGAAATGGCAATATGCCAGAATTTTAAAGAGAGTAGTAAATTTGTTAGAGATCATCTTACCTATTTAAAAAAATTGCGATTGGCAGAAAATCCTAACGGATATGCTAATTATATTGCAAGAAAACTAGTTCCAGATGAAATATCATATAATACAAGATTAGAGAAGATTCAAGCATAGTATCGGGGGATTGCGTACTAAACTAAAAGAATTATATAGCCTTTATTATGAAATATCTCAGGAAGAAAAATGTGAAATATTTAAAGATAATGCGAAAGGAATTATTCAAGAACTTCTTAACATGTCACTTACAGATGATTAGCTCCGCTAGTGAAACTAAATATGTAAAGCTAATAACTTTCTTAACTTGTTAACACCTACTGGGGTGGCAATTCAGAATCATGAGGAATTATTAGCAATTCTTTACATACAAATGATCGTTCAGAACTATTGTTCTCATTATCTATAAGCCAATATAGAACTGGCTGATTTTTTTGTACAAATAATTTTTTAATATGATAAATTTGAGGAGACCAAATTAAGTTCCCAGCACGACGACTTCTACTCTATAACTCACTAGGCTCAAGCAAATATCTTACAAAAGTATTATAATCCAATCGCTCTTCATCATATCCCATAGGCCTATCATGAGGTTTAGAAGCCTTAGCAATAACACTTTTTTTTTCTATAGCTACAGCAGGAGCCATACCAATTTGGTAGGTTATGGAATTATTAATATCTTCAACAAATAATTGAAGATTTTTTATCCAAGTCCGAGATCTTTCAGTAATAGGAAGTAATTGATCAGAAGCATTTTGAGGAAACCTACATTTTTCTTTTAAAGTTCTATTATAACTTTCAACAATACCTATAGTACGCTTAGTCTTGGCCTTCTGAATTTTCACACTATGTTCTCTTATTAATTTCTCACAATCACCCCTAAACTCTGACCCTCTATCTGTTAAAAATATTTCCGGCCAGACAAGAGGGCACTCAGGATCATCATAGATTTTCTCAAGAGTTCGAGCAATAGTCTTTAAAGTTAAGATTCCCTGCCTATCCTTGACACTATATGCGCTAATAGAAATAGATTAAAGATGGTACAGCAATTGATTTCAAATTTACAAAATGTTGCAACATAAGCTAAAATTAGTTGTAACATATGTTGCAACATTATAAGTTACAACATATATAGGTTAAAACTAATTGCAACATAAGTTGCAACATTAAAAGTTGCAACATATTAATTACAGTTCCCATCTTTAGAATAGATACTTTATATCTCGAAGCCACGTTCACCACATTAAGGCAAAAAAGATAGGTGACTTGTCTTACTTTATCATAATGCATGTAGAAAGCATCTGCATGGTAAACTTTATTGGGGGTAGTAATAGAGCTAAAACTTACTCGTTGAATATACTTTGGCTGTGGTCTATGAATTTGATATACAGCCTGTTTTTCAAGCCAATCATGCATTTCATTTAAGGTAAAATCGAACCCAGCTTTTAGAAAAGCTTCATGCAATTTTTTCGCAATCCTCTGATAACCTGAAGGGTGGTAATAAATCTTTTGCAAATCAATAGATATATCTAAATTACTAGCCTTACTCGAATCTATTTGTATAATAGGAATCAATGACTGTTTAATGTATATCATTATGAATAGTAATAGAACTAAAACTTGCATATAGATTATATTTCGGTTGGAGATTTATGAATCTGATGCACAGCTTGTCTTTCAAGCCAATCACGCACTTCATTTAAGGTAAAATCAAACCCAGCTTTTAGAGAAGCTTCATGCAATTTTTTCGCAGTCCT